CTCTCAAAAATAAACAAACTAGCAAATAAACAAATAAGCATTAAAAAAAATAATATCTAGGAAAAGAGGACCCCTTTTTCACCACCGCCCCAAATGATGCCAGGGAAGGTTCCTACAACTCCCAAACACTGTCTTCTGTGCCCCAAACCCCAGGGTCAGAGGAGGGATCAGCTGTTTGGTGGCATCCACTTTGTGCCAGATGCTGAACATGTGTGCTCCTAGTCTTCAAAACAACACTAGAAAGTAGTGTCCCCCCCTTTTTGTGTAGATGAGGAAACTGGGACTCAGAGAGCAGAGTCCTTTCCTGCTGTCTGGGCATGTGGATTAGGAGGGACCCCCGGGTGGGGGAGAAACAAGCCAGTGGAGGGCCAAGACAGACCCAGGTCTCCCCTCGGAGCTCACCACCAGGGGGACATAAGACATAGGCTCAAATCCCAAACACCGATCTCAGTTCTCCTGTGCAGTGCTGCTAAGGGGAGGCCGGGTGAGGGTGTGGAAGGCAGGGGTCTGGGAGGGGCGGGGCTGACCTACTCTGGGGTCACTCACAGAGGTGCAAAGAAGGTCTGAAGGAGAAGGAGCCAAGGGGATGATCAGAGCAGTGGGATTTCATGGCAGGAGGCAAGGCCCGGGTCACACCCCAAGGCCAGAGCACAGATGTGGGGATGGGAGAAAGTTCAGCTATGGGGGAGGGAGGGTGTGAGGGGGCAGGACCCAGTTTGTGGAGATGAGAAGGGATTTTGAACTCCATTTAGACATCACTGGGGAGCACTGAGGGTTTTAAGCAAGAGTGAGTGATTGGTTTAGATCCAGGGTAGAAAGATGGCTGGTGACCCTGCGCAGAACAGTGGCCCTGGGGCAGGGAGAAGGCAGCTAATTGGGGATCCCAAGCGGAGGGTCCACAGGACTGGAAGGATTGGGGAGAAGGCAGAGAGGAGCGAGCCTAAGGTGACTGCTGGTGGAGATGGCCTTGGGGTGAGCAGGGGGGCCCTTTACAGAAGGGGGAACAGGAGGAGTAGGAATGGGCCATGATCACCGGGAGCAGGGACATTTCTGGGGAGGTGTCTGGTTGCCTAAGGTGAGGATGGGCTTGTGGGCTCAGGCTGGAGGAGCCCAACATGGGAGAGGGGGGGGGGGGAGGACAGAGGGTCCCCGGCGTAGCCAGTTGTCAGGAGGCAAGCAGGAAAGAGCACGTGTAACCGCCAGGGCAGGTGGAGCAGCAAGGGCAAGAACGGGACACTGAGCTTTAGCCTGGAGTTGGTGTCCCCAGGAAGAGCAGTGAGGCGATGGGGAAATGATGGACGGTGTGGTGGGGGGGGGACCTGAGCCGCAGGAGGGGTTGCCGAGGGCTGTCAGGGCGGCGTGAGGAGCAGTCGGTGTGCGGGAATGGACTGAGTGCAGGGTCCACGGGGGTCTCGAGCAAAGGGGGTGGCCGGAGGAGGCAGGAAGGAGGCCACTGCCTCAGTGGAGCGCAAACAACAGCCCGGCGCAGGGCGCAGGGAATTCTCTTCGGAGCTCTGGCCGCAGGAGCCTTCAGTCTCACGCGGCGGCGGGAAGGCGACCCCGGCTGGCTCTCCGACCCCGTTTGACCCCAGCTTGGCCCTACCCGCTCCGCAGGAGGCCGGCATCCGCGTTTCCCCGAGGAGGCTTTGGTCGCTCCCAGGGATGCCTGTCCACGAACGCTGGGAGAGAAACTCCCAGGACGCTGATGCCACCCCCAGTCTCCTCAGTCGGGCCAGAGGGCCGGGGCCTGGGTTCGAGGCCTAGCTGTGCTGAGTGGCGCCCTGCGAGGGGGCGGGGATGGCCCAGGCCGGCGACTTCCTCGAGCTCCCCCTCCCCGCCCCGGGCGCACAGCCGGGTCTCATTACCGCCCTCCCCCTCCCCCGCGCCCCGCGGGCCGGGGGGTCTCGGCGGCCGGGGGATGGGAGGGTTATAATCAATCCCAGGCCGGAAATTCCTCCCGAGGGGCCCGGCCGGGCAGCGGGGGCCAGGGGGGGCCCGGCTCGGAGCCTGGCCGGCCGCCCGCGCCTCCCCACCCCCCTTCTCCTCCGAGCCCGCCCCCCGCATCATGGAAACTGGGCCGCCAGCCGACCCCCTCGCTCCGCTCCGCATTCCAGCCTCGGGGGGCGGGCTGGGCGAGAGCTGCGCGGCCCCGTCGGGCCAGCGGCTGGGGGCGCTCCCAGTGCCTCCGGAGCGGGGACCAGCGCCGCCTCCCCACTCCAAATGGGGCGCGTCCTCTCAGTGTTAGGGAGGCCGGCGGGACCCATGACACTCCGTTGGACTCCCTCAGCTCTGGGAGAGGGCTCAGCCCCACCGCCCCCACCCCTGCCCTGGGCTGCTATTCACTGAGCGCTCGCGGGGTTACCCGGGGCTGAGCCCCGTGTCGAGTGCCCACCCCCGACGCTGGATTTTCGCCTCTCCGCATCTTGCGAGGCGGACACCTTGAAGCCCATTTTTCAGGTGAAGGCAGTGAGGTTCACGGACGGGAAGGGCTGGGGGCGCGGGCGGGGCAGGAACCGGACCGCCTCCTCCGGGGAGCTCCCCGGACGGCGCGGGGCAGCAGCGGGCTCTCACACGCCTCCGGGGGTCCTCTCCCCGGCGCTTAGAATGAAGGGCTGAGAGGCGCGGGATGGGGGCGTGCGGGCTTCGAGTCCTCAGTCTGCGCACTCGCTACGGAGCCCGGCAGGGTTCTCCAGGTTTCCCCACGTGGGATGAGGGGGCCTTCCCAGGCCTCTGCGAACGACAGAAGCCGGGGACTCGGACCCCCGGGTCCTCCGAGCCACCAGGCCAGCACACAGCGCTTACCTGCGACCCTCAGACCTGAGCGGCTGCCTTCTTCCCGCGGTGGGGCCTGGCGGGGTGCTAGCCAGCCAGTCCCCCGGGCTCCTGGGGGGCGGGGCCTGGGCGGCGCTGGGCGGAGCCCGAGTAGGGGGCGGGGCCGGGGGGGGCCAAGATTCGGTGGAGACCGCGGCAGTGCCGCGCGACCCGCGGCGCGCTGACTCGGACCGGGACCCTCCTGGGCGCGGCGGCACCAGGTGAGCAGAACTAGGGTCCGGGGTTCGCCTCCCACTTTCCTCAACTTTTTGTTTCCCCTCCCTCCGGAAAGGCCCTGGGCGGCGGGAGTCCGGTCCTCCCTTTACCCCGGGCAGAGTGTGGACGCTGGCTGAGTGCAAGAGACCCGGCCCGGAGCAACTTCCCGCGGCCTGAGACCTTCCGACTGTGGCTCCAAGTTTCTGTCCCCCTGGGGTCCCCAGCGTGGACTCACGCTCTCCAGAGTCTCGGGGTCTCAAGGCATGTGGCCATCTCTCCGCACGCCTTCGCCCTCCTCCACGCAGAGACGCGCGGGGTCTCCGGGCGACCTTTTCGGGGTTGGGCCCGGGGCACCAGCTCTGGCCTGGGGCGGGGTGGTCACTTCTGAGGTTTCGGGCTGGGGAAAAGGCTCCACACTCAGAGACGACGGGGAACGGCCCTTGCCTCCTCCCACGACGCTCCCGTGGCTGTGCACAGCATTGGCCGGGGTCGGGAGGCCCGGCGTCGGGTCCCGGTAGAGCCCCCTCCTCGTGTGACCCCGGCAGTCTCCTCCGCCTCTCTGGGCCGCAGTTTCCATCTGTGAAAATTAGGCTTTGGACGCGGCAGACTGCGGCTCAGTGCTAGGCCCCGGGCCTTAGGCACTCCTGTTGGAGGCAGGGATGGGGTGTCGTGTCTTGAGCTTCGGGGGTGCGGATGGGGAGTGAGTGGGGTAGCAAGGCCTCCTTCCTGGGGCTTCGGCTACAGGTTCCAGCACTGAAGCTGTTTAGAAACCATACTGGGGGAGTGAAGACGCACCACCGGACAGCGAGGTCCTAACTCTCCCCCTGCGGGCCAGGGCTCCTGGGCGGGGGCGCGGTTTCCTCCCACACCCTCCCTCCCATGGGGGCCACACCACACACAACCCAGCTACTCCTTACCCGGCCCCGGCTCCAGTCCTCAGGCCACAGGCCGATAAGGGCTTAAGCCGGGCGGCCCAGGCTGGGGCGGCCTGAGGTGCTGGGGCGGTGCTGCTCCGTCCGGGACGCGGGCCACAGAGGCCTCGGGTGGAGGAGGCCGGAAAGGAGGACAGGCGGCGGGAAAGGGGGATGATTCATCCCGAGGAGCTCGAATTGGAAACGCTGCAACCTGGGAACAGCCTTGCCCAGGCCGACGGGAGAGCCGGAGGGGAGCTCTACCGGCAGGGCCCCGCGCCCAGCACCTGCAGCCCCCTGCGCCCTGCCGTGGCCACTGCCCGGCCGCTGGGGGAGGAGAGGCCTCGTCTACGCGGAGTTTAAAGCAATCCCGGGCAAAGTCTGCCGCTGGTCTTGATCGGAACGGTCTTCCTGGAGTCTAGCTCAAGTCTCTCCTGCTGCAGCTTCAGTGCAGACTGAGGAGGTCTGAAAGGAGGGGGCGGGCAGGAAGAGGCTGGAGTCAGTGACACCCCCTCCTTCCTACGCTGCGGTATGTAAAGCGCAGTAGGGGGGAGGTGGGGCCCGCGAGCGACCCCAGCGGACCCGGGCGGTCTGAGCGCCCCCTCCCTCCTTTACGGTGCACCCACGTGCGGGGGTGAGGTCGATCCCGGGCGGGACTTACCCTGGAGACGCCACTGCCGGGGGGCCCGCACACCTCCTGAGGCCCGGGGCCGGCGGGCTGGCGAAGAGGGCTCTGGAGGCCGGAGCCCCGCAGCCGAGGATGCGCCAGGTAGCAGCCCGCGCCCCCCCTCCCTCCGCTCCGCCCGCGGGCCCGGCCAACTCCGGCTTCTGCCGCGCGTCCCTGGCTCCGAGCTCCGCTGCGGAAAACCCGAGCGGGGGCGGCTCCCCGCCTCGCGGCCCGGGAAAATCCGGGGGTGGCCGCCAGGGATCTCCAAGCGGCCTGGGCGAGGCAGCCTGAGCTTGCCTCCCGGATTTGGGCCCCCCACCTGGCGCTCCGACCCTAGGCCCGTCGGTTCAGTCCCTGCCTCCCATCTCTCTGCAGAGCGCCTAGACGACGGCGAGATGACGGCTGGGAGCCCTGGAGACTGCGGGGAGGTGCGCAGGAGCCCCGAGGGCCGCGTCTCTCGCCTGGGCCGCCGCCTGGGCCGCCGCCGGCGCCCGCGCTCTCCGCCCGAACCTCTGCGGGTGCGGGCACGGCTGCGGCTGCGCTCGCCGTCGGGGGCGTTCGCGGCGCTGGGGGCGCTCGTGGTACTGGTGGGCATGGGCATCGCCGTGGCCGGCTACTGGCCGCACCGCGCCGGCGCCCCAGGGCCGCGCGCTGCCAATGCCAGCGCCCTCCTCCCGAGCGAGCTGCGACGCGAGGGTCGCGGCGCCGGCCGGGCCCACGGCCCGCACGAGCGGCTGCGGCTCCTCGGGCCGGTGGTCATGGGCGTCGGCCTGTTCGTGTTCATCTGCGCCAACACGCTACTCTACGAGAACCGCGACTTGGAGACGCGACGGCTTCGCCAGGGGGTGCTGCGGGCCCAGGCGCTCCGCCCTCCTGACGGCGCCGGCTGGGACTGCGCCCTCCTCCCCAGCCCCGGACCCAGGACTCCCCGAGCCATAGGCCGCGCAGAGGCAGAAAGTTGGGACCTGTCCCCGCGTCGGGGCACCTCACCCGTCCCGTCAGTGCGGAGTCTGCGTTCAGAGCCTGCTAATCCTCGCTTGGGGTTACCTGCCCTGCTCAACAGTTACCCTCTGAAGGGCCCAGGGCTGCCCCCACCCTGGGGTCCACGGACCCAGACTGGCCATGTGATTATCACCGTGCAGCCCTCTGGTTCCTGCATCGAACATTCCAAGTCTCTGGATCTGGGCCTTGGGGAGCTCCTACTTGGGGCCCCGGCAGCTCGAGACTGCGCTCACCGGAGCTGGCCACGGCTGGACCGCCTCAGTCTGGGGGGTTATGCCAAGTTGGGAGGAGGAGGGGACTTGGGAGCCCGGGTTTGAGGAGCAGGGGACAGCCTTCTAGGCGGCTGCAGCATGGACATTGGTAACAGGACCAGAAGTCCCAATATCTAGTAGAAGCATCAGTCACATCCCAGACTGGAGGTGGATGCTCTGGCCCCATCAGCTGCTAAGGCATCCTGACTTGCATGTCGGCAGACAAATGCCAACTGCACAGGGTTCAATAAGCTGGAGACAATGAGCTTTAATGTGGAGTCTGGAGACCAGCATGACTCGGCCTTGGGATCTCTTTTAAGCCTCCAAAAGTGGCCTTACTTAGCCTCGGACAGGTACCTGAGGGGGCTGGAGGTCCAGGTCAGGGTGACTGGGAGAAACCTGGTGTCTTGGCAAACCCCAAGTGGTGAGCAAGGACCCTTAAGACTCAGAAGGTAGGTTGGGATGTTACAGGCTGGGATGGGCTCCCTCCAAGGTGGTGCCAGTTGCAGGGTCGGGGAAGACGGGCAATGGGGTAGAGCAGAGACCCTCCACTGCCATCTGGGATGGGGCCTGAGGCTTTATCTCCCACCACCTCAGCCCCTGTCTCCCCTCAGCCATGCGGGGTACACCCCACTAGGGCTACACTACTGCCAAAGTCTTCCTACCGAGGGTCTGGCCCCTCCCTAAACAGGTCTGAGAAGCCCCCTTCTCTCCTCTGTCATGGCCTGTGCTGCAAAATCTCCCTCCAGCAGGCAAAAAGCATTTGTCAGATCTCCTTTTATACAACGTTGAAGCCACATTTTGGCCAATGTTGGGTAGCTTACTTTAGAAAATGGCTTGAATTTGGGTCTCCCTTACCCATGTTTAATTTTCCCCAGATTGCTGGTAGGAAAAGAGAACTTTAAAAGTTGATCAATTCTCACAGATTCAGTCTTTTTTTTTGTAAGTTTATTGAAAAATGCAATACAAGAAGCAAGACCAAACACAAATCTAAGCACTACACCACTTCTCTTACTACAAAAGGCCAAAACAGCAGACCTAATTATTGCCTTTTTACTCTAGAGATTTTGCCAATTTGATTCTGCTGCCATAGTTCCTATTTGTCAAGAAATGTAAACAACTACTTGATATGATTCATAATTTTAAAAAAATTTACAAAGCTCCTTCATTTTTGTCACCAAAATAATACATTTGAGAGAGATCTGTAAAAACAGCCAGCCGGGGGCTGAGATCCTGGGCGGGTATTTCCACGAGCAGTGGGCATTCTGTGGTGTTGGTCAGGCCATAGCTCTGGCTCCACTTCCCAGGGCAGACGGTTGTCCCTTCCCCCCCTCCACCGCCCTGCAGAACATGCGATGGGGAGGCCTGGGCCGGAGGGCAAAGAGGCCCTGGAAGGTCCCTGTGGCCAGGTTCTTCGGGCCCTCGGCTTGGAAATTTAGGTCCTGCTTGGTGGGTGGGTGGGTGGTGGGTGGGTGACAGAGACCTCATGTGGCTTGGAGGAAGTCTTTACTTCTCAAGTGAAATAAAAATAAAACTGCAGCGAGAATTGTTACTGTGGTGTGTCTGAGTCACTTTAGGGAAATTGCTGCCAAGTCTCTGACCCTGGAAATGAAACTCTCCCCTCCCCTCTTCACCATTTCCACCTGGACAGAATCTGTTTTTCTTCACACACACACACACACACACACACACACACACACACACACAAATGCACACACAACTGCAGGAAGAAATAAAATCCAAACAACTGTCGAACCCTCAGATCTGTTACCAGAGAGGCAGGATAGGGAGAGAGGCTTGGAAGGACACCTTCTGCCTAGCTTGTCCAAATCGTGGCTTCTCAGTGCTGGAAGGGCATTCGAGATCTTCTGGTCCAATTTATAGTTAAGGAAGCAGGAGGAGAAGCACTGTGAGCGGGTGACAGAGCCGAGGGGAAGCGTGGGCCCCTGTCATAGGTCCTGTGCGGTGAAAGCTGCCGCATCAGTGCAGGCAGTGGAGAACCTGGCATGCCAGGCCGCTGATGCTCACCCTGTGCCCTCTTCCTTACCCCGACCCTCTTCATTCCACAGCTGGCAGCCTGGGAAGCTGGCAGCTCTTTCAACAGGACAGCTGGCCGCGGGCAAGGGAGCTCACGTTACACGCCTTCTGATGTGAGCTGGATTCCTAACCTCACCACCACTCCTGGCGACGCAGCCTGGGCATGGGTACCACCAAGAGAGCCCCATCGTTTCAGACCCTGTGCCCACGGGCTGGAAGTCTGCTCCTGAGACAGGACAGTCCTGTCTCCGCAGGCCTGTCATATACCCTACCTGAGCTCTTCATCCCTCTCCAGAGAGAGCTGCCTCTCGGCTAGTAATATTCTCACATAAGTACTAAAGGAAAATGCACACGTCTGCAATCAGTTCAAACCAGCTGCGTTTGTCTAAAACCAGACTCGGCCAGAAGAGGCCTTGGACACAGGTGGCTGCCTCCCACAGTGGGGAGCAGGGGTTTTCGACGTCTCTCACTGCTCCGGAGCCCCCCGAGACTGCTGACTGTGATCCGCTGTCTATCTCATGAGGTTCACTTCTGTCCCAGAGTAAGATTCCAAGAACTTCCGGGCAGATGTGTTTGTGGGAGCAAGCTGGAAGATTCGAGAAGTGCTATTGGATAAAAATGCCCCCAGACCTACCAGGAATGGTGGAATTGGGCACATCAGGCAGTCCCATTTTCAAAACCAAACGAACAGCAACAACAACAAAAAAGTAAAAGTAAAATAAACCCACAACCCACCACAAAAATCAAGCCTATAAAACCTGACAGACCTCAGATGGCGAGTGGGAACGAGCAGGGCTGGTGTTTGTTCCCCTTGTCGTGCAGGGTTTTGTGGGAAGGATGGCCCCTAAAAGTCAGTTCCCTTGCTCCAGAAGTGTGTCTGCAGGCAGGTACCAGTCAGGAGAAGAAAGGACAAGGAACAAGACCTCCTCTCTGAGTCACATTCCCTGTCATCCCAGGATTAAAGAAAGAGGCCCAGGGTTGGTCACCTGGAAATACTTCTTAGCAAGATCTGACTGAGGTAAACCCCACCATTCCCCTGTGTGAAGTGCACATTCCCAGAACTAGAAAACCTTTTTTAAAACCTCATTAACTTTCTCCTTGCCTAAATCACCACTAAAAGTGTGCCATTGGAGCTTCGGGCCAAAAGTGCCTATTTTTCTGTGAGTTTTGGTCTCCTGAGATGGGAAGTGGGGGGAGCACTTAGCAGAGCCACTGCTTCTGATGAGGTAAAAGGGGAGGGAGGGCAGGAAGGTGAAGGCCACGGATATGTTCAAACATTCACAGTATCAGATAGATATGAAACAACTTCTTATGTCTTTGATCTAAAGAAGCTCCAAAAAGAAAGAATAGGAGGAAAGAAGGAAAAACAATACTACATTCTTAGCAGAGATCTCTGCCTCACTGAAACCACCCTCAACAAAGGGACAGGGACGTTTTCCTGGGGCCTGTGGATCAGGACAGCTGCCCTGCCTCACATGGTAAAGTCACATCATTGGCTCTGAGAAAGGGCTGGTGAATGAAGTTTCTGCTGACATCCAAAGGGTATAAAACTAGGGGACGAGCAGGAAAGCCCCATTAAGCTGGCTTTGGCCCCCAACACAGCTGACAGAATCTTTGGAGGATTTCCCCAAGAATTCTGTGGACCTGTCAGGATCTGGGTTGGAAATAAATGGAGAGAGGCTAGGTTAAAGGGGTTACAAACCACCCCATAAAAAAACCAAAAAGCTCTTTAAAAACAGTCCATAGAGTGAAAAGTTGAACAATTTCTGGTATCACAATGTAGAAAAAGTATTAAAAGAACCAGTGATGTCTAGAAGACTCTCTTGGTATAAATTCCAAATAGAAAGTGAAATTTTCTGGTGGTTTAGAGTAATTTTCAAAGTCTGATGTCTGACTATTGCAGGAAAGCTTCTTTATCATTTTGCTGGTTTTCTCTTGGATGGGAGACAGGCGGGGAGTTGGGGTAGGATAGTTCCTAGAGGGGAGAAAGCACACTTTTTAAATCCAGCAAAGGAAAACAGCCACCCAGCCCCACTGCCAGTTCTGTGGCCCCAAGTCACAAGCAGGGCCTGAGCAGTTTTACAGAGCCCAGTCCTACCTGTGATCGATGGCTTCTTCGAGTTGTTTGTAAACTACTTTTAGGCATAAATTTATCTGGATCCCTGGGCTCTCTGAAAGCTGCTGTGCTGCTTTCAATTTTCTAGTCTGGCCTGGCCCCCTAGTCCCCTAGCCCCCAAGCCCACGTTTCCGGACAGGCAGGTCCTGCTTTTCTTGGTTTTGTTCTCCTCTGGCTCTCTGAGGTTTAGACTCAGAGATCCCTGTGACGGCAGAGAGCAGATCGCAGACAGAAGAGGGAGGGAAGGCTAAGTGAAGAAGCAGGAGGAAACGGGAAGATTCAGGAAGTGAGTGGGGGTTTCCATCCAGGCCTAGGGTGTGTCCTCCAGCCTATCACTGCTGGCCTGATAAAGGCAGGAGGACCCAAGGAGGCTAGCTGCTCTCATTGGAGCCAAATCCTTAGTAACTTCTCTGTCTCCCTCATCAGCCTCTCCTTTGCCTTTGCTTTATTAAGTCCCAGTGTGGACACCTCTGGGGGATGTTCCTGCTCAGTGTTCTCTGAGGGGGGGGGACAGTGGACCCCCTCCACCCCACCAAGAACAGCCCATACCTGAGCTCATTCCTCAGAGATTTCGGTCTCCTGATGGACGACCACCTTGGTCACTGACATGTCTGGGTGCTGCTCCTTTGCCTCCTTGATGGCCTGTACGAGGACCTGAGAAAGACAGAAACAATGTTCGTCAGGCAGAAAGCAGGCTGGCTGGTGAAGGAAGGCAGGGGTCTCAGGACATGGTTTCTCTGGCAAATTCAATCTTTCCGTCTGTAGTACCGGGGCAGCATTTAGGCTAAGCCAAGCTGATAATAGCCTTACCTCCCCTATCCTGCATAGGGAGGCTCCTGGACTGAAAACACAGAGACAGGGAAGGCTAGAGCTGTCGTCAAGGAATCATAAAGGGACTTTAGGGGTGACAGCTGTACCTGCTGGGTGGGTCTGGGAGGATTCACTCAAGAAGTGAGTGGAAAATCTGTATTCACTATAGGGTAGCCAGGAAGTTCAGAACAGAAGAGGAAAATATAGAAGCATGCTACAAAAAGGAAGAGGTATCTTCGGCTGACGGAGAGGAAAGAAAGTAAGGAAGAGTGGGAGGGCCTATTAGATGCCATGCATTGGCCTAAGCACATTATTGTTATTTACTTAATCTTCAGGATGGCTCAATGAAATTAGGGTAGCATCACTGTTTCCACTTCATTTTAAAATTTTTACTTTTTAATGTTTATTTTGAGAGAGAGGGAGGGAGGGAGAGAGAGACAAAGCATGAATTGGGGGAGGGGCAGAGAGAGAGGGAGACAGAGAATCCGAAGCAGGCTCCAGACTCTGAGCTGTCGGCACAGAGTCCGACGGGCTCGAACCCACGAACCGTGAGATCATGACCTGAGCTGAAGTTGAACACTTAACTAACTGAGCCACCTAGGCACCCCATGTTTCCACTTTGTTTTGAAGTAAGCTCTGTGCCCAACGTGGGGCTCAAACTCACAACCCCAAGATCAAGAGTTGCCTGCTCTTCCAGCTGAGTCAGCCAGGCGCCCCTCATTGTTTCTATTTTACAGACAAAGAAACCGAAGTTCAGTGGTTAAATAAAGTGGTTAATGTTTCCCAGCTAATAAGTAATGCAGCAGGGATTTTAACTTAAATCTATAAGGCTTTCTCCTTCACTACTTAGTTTTTATTTAGTTTCAGGGAGACCCTGTGTTAGCATCTGAAGGAATTCTGATCATTTTAGAAAAACTAAATGAAAACAGAGGGAAAGTCAGGGAAATGATACCACTACTCTTCCTGGGTAGCAAGTCTCTGAGCCTCAAGCTCACAGCACCCAAGGTGCTTTGGGGAACGGTGATCTGGGGATTCTCAAGAGACAGGCCCTCCCTATTAAAAAGGACACCAGGGGAGCCTGGATGGCTCAGTCGGTTAAGCATCTGAATCTTGGTTTCAGCTCAGGTCATGATCTCACGGTTCGTGAGTTTGAGCGCGCTGTAATCAGACTCTGCTGACAGCATGGAGCCTGCTTGGGATTCTCTCTCTCCTTCTGCCCCTACCCTGCTTTCTCTCTCTCTTTCTCTCAAAATAAATAAATACATCAACTTAAAAAAATTTTTTTAAAAAGGGGTGCCTGGGTGGCTCAGTTGGTTAAGCGTCCAACTTTGGCTCAGGTCATGATCTCACGGTTGGTGGGTTTGAGGCCTATGCTGGGCTCTGTGCTGACAGCTCAGAGTCTGGAGCCTGCTTCAGATTCTCTGTCTCCTCTTGCCCCTCTCCTGCTCGACACTCTATCGTTCTCTCTCAAAAATAAATAAACGTTAAAAAAATTTTTTAATAAATAATAATAATAAAAAAAAAAGGATTCTAGCTAGATCTGAACACTTGACTATTGAACCTGGCTCTTAAGAACTATCTCTAGGAGGGAGGGATGAGGGAAGAGGGGAAGTTCCTCTTTTGGTCTTCTGACTCCATGAAACTGGCACCTCTATAGGCCCCTGCTCATTTTCCCTGATCTTTTTTTTCCCAACCCACCTGCTCATGTGTCAAGGCCCAGCCCAAACCATCTCTTCGGTTGCTCTGGCTGACACCTCTCTCTCCAGGAAAAAGCCTGCATCACACTACTTCTTGCTCTAATTGCCTCCCCACCCATCCAGGATACACCATATCTCATCCCTTCCGTGCATCCCTCATACCTAGCAGAACTGAGGGACAAAGGAGCATCTCTCTGAGCTCTCAAATATGTTTCTGACAATCCTGAAAGAAATCTAGGATCATCTTTCTTTTACAGATGGCAAAATTACAGCTCAGAGAAGTAAAATAACTTGCTCAAGGACACACAACTAGTAAGTTGCAGAGTCAAGAGTCAACTCAGTGCTGTCTCACTCCAAACCCAAAACACCTTCCTGTCCTCCTGCTCTTGCTGTCTAGCACAGACTGAGCACATAGCAGGGGCTCAAATCAACCGGACCAAGTAGGTGGATGCAGGCAGGTAACAGCGGGATCACCAAGCAGAGGCGAACAGGCTGCAGGGCCTCCCACTTGGACTCGGCAGCCATTCTCAGCTGGGAGTCTCAGCCCTGCTACCAAGGGAGCTGCCCGTGGTGCAGCTCAGGCTTTCTTTTTCTTTTTCTTTCTTTTTTTTTTAAGGCACTCAAGATATCAGCATAAAGGCCACAGAATGATTGCTCCAGCACTGCTGTCAATGATTCCAGAAGCATTTGCATGCAGTCCCTTCCACCCCCTCCTCTCTGCAGCTTTACTGTTCTCACCTCACTCAGCAGAGAGCTAGGAGCATCAATCCTGACCTTATTATTTGTTAATTGCTTGCAGCACAATTAGCATCTAATTAATATAGAAACATAGATTTTTAGCACTCAGAAGAGCCCAGAAATGATCTAGATCAACCTATTCTCTTTTAGGAGACAAAAAAGAATCAGAGGTAGTATGGTTTTCCCAAGGTCAAACAGTAAGTCAGTGACAGATCTAGGACAGAATCGAAGTCAAGGCTCCTGATTCTCAGTCTACCTCCTCCTGCTTCCCCTCATCTCCTCTGCCACGAAGCCCTCTGAGGGCAAGGATCACACTTTCCTTTTGTCTTACTATCTTGTTCTGTCTCCAGTACACGTTTAGGGACACGCTGTCCCCTGAACAGCAACAGCTCTGTTCACCCGGAGCCCACCATGTACCTCATGGTGGACATCCCCCATCTCACCTGATTCTCACAACCACTTCGAGAGGAAGATGCCATAATGCCCATCCTAAAGATGAGGAAATGGAGGCCTAGGAAACTAAGAGCTACAATATGGAGAGATCCAGGATTTGAACACAAGATTTTTGAGTCCAAAAAGCTTTCTATTCCTTCTATTCCACTTCATGCTCCCCCCACCTGCAGCCCCCATCCCACAGGCCTCCGCGGTCTGATTCCCTTTGCCCTTCCCATTTAAGCACTCGAATGGCCCAGGGGGTTCCTCAGGATGAAGCTGGCAGAGGCGTCTTTTGAAAGCCAACTCCTATCTCCATCAATCTTCCCTCCCAGAGACCTCTTCCATGCCCATAATCTCTTCCGTGTTCCCACCTGATCATGGTCAATATCGGCATCTCCTGTGATCACAATTCTCTTCTCAATCCGTGTCTCTGAAATCCCACCTTTTACAGTCTGAAACCAAAGGGAGGTGGTCATATGAGAAAGAAAGGAAAGAAGAAAAGGGGAAAAAAACCCAGCAATAGTAAAAGATTAGTCTGAAAGCTCTACTTCAAATTTTAATCTGCTGCTGGGTACTGTCTAGAATAGCTTTCTTACCCACTTGCCCAAACCCTTGGCTGCACCTACTAAAATGAGCACATCTCTATTCCCTTGGATTGCTAAGATCTTTAATAAGCAAAACAGAAAATCACAATTTGCTATTTACTTTTCCCTTTTTCTTCCTTCTAAATACCATAGATATTCAGTGAGTAAATAAAAACAGATAGGTTTTTCTTTTTGCTCTTTTCTGTATATTTTGATTATTTTCAAGGGGAAAAATCAGAAGACTGTGAACAAAAATGTCATGGAGCTTGAAATTAGGCTCTTTATTCTCAAGCATTTTCGTATTATTAATATCAAAAGATCCTCAAATAACCCCCTCAGAGGGGGCAGGTTTCCTTAAATAACAGATGAGGAAAACTAAGGTCTAGACACAGTAAGTAACTAACTTCTAGTCATCTGTGTATTGATACTAGAGCTTGGTCAGAAATCTAGATTTCTTACTTACAAGAAAATACATTTTCCTCTAGTGCTACAGCAAACACGGACTGTCTGATTTTCAGGGAGTAGTTCTGATTTTAGATAATTTGTGCTGTTTGTCCCCATAAACAATGTTCTAATAATTCCAATATTTCAGTGGGCAAACTATAGTTCCCATGGCCTTGACGCTGGACATGATATAAAAACTCTCTGTTGGGCCCTGAGTTCTGATTTTTTACTTGGAAAACATAGCTGCATAATAATACCAGTGACGCCTGTCCTTAAACTGACTTTTTCAACTTACGCCCAGACAGGGTAGTGATCAGAGAGACGCACGTGTAAAGACAACAAGCACATATGACTTCACGAGACTACTCACTAGACTAGGACACCCTCAGGGTCTCCCTAGGTTTACCACTGGGGAAAGCAGCAGGGCCTTTCCATCTGTGACAGTTGGAACAATTTGGCTCAGTAGGGATGGAGCTGGAAACCCTTGCTTACAGACCAGCGTCCTTCCTACAGAGGCACCACGCTTGGCATGCCACTGACTTCCAGAAGGAAGTTCTAACTGGTCTGTTACCTTGGTAATCTGAGTTGTGGTTGTACTGCTTGTGGTCTCAGATGTGATGGTCTGAGCTGTTAGCAAGACTCCTGGGTCCAAGTCTCCGTTGCTATCATCAGTCTGCAGGGAAAAAACCACAGCTCATCAACATGCCTCTCAGGAAGCCTTGTGGGCAAATGTGGCAGGAAGCAGTTTTGCTCTTTGGCTGTACATTCTAAAGCAAAAACCTAATTCCCTTACAGCGATCTCTTAATAAAGAAAACAATCCCCTGGCAACAAGGCTCCTTCTAAAAACGTTGGATGGTCAGTTTCCTTAGCACTGGGTCAGTGACAGGAGTGGATCAGAGAGAAGGCAGGAAAACAGCCAATAAGAGTGACAATGACCACACATGTGTATACGGCATTTTAGAGTTCACAAATGGCTTTCAAAACATTGTCTTTTAGGGGAGTCTGGGTGGCTCAGTCGGTTTTGCGTCCAACTTCAGCTCAGGCCATGATCTCATGATTTGTTGAGTTCAAGCCCCCTATCAGGCTCGCTGCTGTCAGCACAGAGCCTGCTTTGGATTCTCTGTCCCCCTCTCTGCCTCTCCCCTACTCACTCACACTCTCTCTCAAAAATAAATAAACCTTAAAAAACCTTTGTCTTTTTTGATGCCCACACAAGCCCTGTGAAATCAACAGAAAGGGCAGAGACTGATTAGCATTCCCAGGTAAGAAAATGCAGGCCCAGAGAAGGCGAATGATTTGCTCAAGCACTCAAAACTTGTATGTGGCAGCTGTCCTCTCTACAAACCTGAAGCTCTTTACACACCATCTAAGGCAGGAGAAGTGTAAACTCTTGGGTGCTAAGGCATGGGTAGGTTCTGAATCATAGGGCAGAACTTTCCAGAAAGGACTGGGAAAGGTCCTTGCCAGGGCTTAAGGAGCCAAGGAATCTCAGGCTATCTTCTTTGAAAACTGAGATGGGAGGGGCGCCTGGGTGGCTCAGTCAGTTAAGTGTCCGACTTCGGCTCAGGTCATGATCTCACGGTCTGTGGGTTCAGGCCCTGCGTCGGGCTCTGTGCTGACAGCTCAGAGCCTAGAGCCTGTTTCAGATTCTGTGTCTCCCTCTTTCTCTGACCCTCCCCTGTTCATGCTCTCTGTCTCAAAAATAAATAAATGTTAAAAAAAAAATTTAAAAAAAAAGAAAACTGAGATGGGAGACTGGAGCAAATAAGGTAGGAAATATCCCTTTAAGACACCATGGGAAGAAACCTACAAAATACCTCAATGACCCTTCTGACAACAAAACTAGTATTGAAATGGACCATCCTTATTAGGAAGCGTTTAAAAGTATTTAGAATGCCAGGCTATGAAACTAATCTACACAGAGAACAAGGGCTGCGGCTACTTCTTGTTTCTCTAGAGCTCACCACATTATGACCAAAACCAATGTATTATGATCAGGTTGGGAAATGACACTAGCAAAAAGGAAGAGAGGTGGTTATCAGTGGCCATGGGCTGGTAGCAGGACTCAGAACTGCTGAAAGCCCTGTGACTGGGATGGAAACAGAGGACACTAGAAGGGTGGAGGCTGCTCAGAGCCAACACGCTGTCCAGAAAACAATGACCAGTAGGTTCTGGTATCGTACACGGGCTCAGAGGAGATTTAGAGAATTGCAATCATTCTCAGAAAGAACCTGCGGTAAAAAAAAAAAAAAGTGTTACATTACTATGTTTTTCTGCCTCTTTATTTATGTAAGTCATTTGTATTATAAGCAGAGGCCTCCAGCCTTTTTATGAACAGGACCACATTTCATTGAGGCAAAACTTTGAGATATGGGGGGTGGGGAGACAGGAGGAGCAGATGAGAATTAGGAAGAAGAGTTTCTGGCTGGAGTTGCCTTGGAGGTAAGAATCTAGACAAAACAAAGAGAGGGGACATGCCTGTGACACCTACATCTCACATAATCATAAATCATGCACATACATGCCAGCACCATGCTAGGTATATTGCTGGCTCGTTCGCTAACACTTTCTTCAGCCCAGACCCACTTATCTACCTTAGATTCGAACTAAACTATTATTTATTGTACTCCTACTATGTGCCAAGCACACAATGCAACTGTTAACTTAGTTAGTTGGGCCAGAGAAGTTCAATAATTTGTCAAGGTTCTATAGGTAATAAACGTTTGCACTAGAAGTTAGGGCCAGAAAACTTTTGGTCTGAAGACTGAGGTTTGGGTCCCAGCTCAGACCTAACTAGCTATGGGATCTCGGGCAAGTCCTTCTCTCTTCTCTGAGCTTTAGTTTTCTCGTCTATAACAGGCAATACTGTAAGATGGGCTCTGCCCCCACCATGGCATTATTGTGCAGATCTAAAGAGATCGTAGAAGTACTTTATACATGATTATAAGAATATAAATTTGGGTGTGCTTGTTGATGCCTCAGTCTTAAGGTTAAGCCTCTGACCCTTGATTTCGGCTCAGGTCATGATCTCACGGTCTGGGAGATCAAGCCCCACATCAGATTCCTCACTGAGAGCAGAGAGCCTTCTTTGGGATTCTCTCTCCCTCTCTCTCTCTCTCTGCCCTTCCTCCCTCACTCCCTCCCTCCCTCTCTCTCTCCAAATAAATACATTTTTTAAAAAAGAATATAAATTTGTGTGTCAGGAGGGCTAAACCTTTTTGAGAGCTCCACCTCTACTAAATCTGTGACTCTATCGTATTTTTCTACTTCCCACCGACTGCCTCCCTGCTTTCTGTCTCTGAAGAAGTGGAAGATGGAGGAGACTTTGTTATGATTTCTGACTTATACTCTTCCCACAAGTGATCTCTTTCCTTTGACCCGTTAACCAATGTTTCCTTAAAATGGTATGGTGGCTTTGACAGCCGTTTATAAAGTTAAACATCCATTTATCCTATGACCTAGCAATTCCACTCTTAGGTGTTTACCCAAGGTAAGTGAAGAAATATGTCTACACAAAGACCTGCACATGAGTGTTTGCAGTATCTTTATTCACATTTGCTCCAAACTGGCGTCAACTCAAATGTCCATCAACAAAGGAAAGGATAAACAAATTGTGGTACATTCAAACAATGGGATACTATTCAACAATAAAAAACAGCAAACTACAGACTCATATAACTTTGATGAACCAAACAAACAAACAAAACCCATGTTCGGACACAAAAGTGTACTACTGTATACTTCCATTTATATGGAATCCAACAACAGGTAAAATTAAGCTAAGGTGATAGAAATCAAAGCAGTAGCTGCCTAGAGGGGTAGGAAGCAACTAGAAGAGTTGAAGAGGGTTTCAAGAGTAATGGAAATCTTCTGTATCCTAAATGTGTCTGGTCACACAGGAATATACATCTGTGGAAATCAATCAAATTGAACACTTAAAATCTGTGCATTTCCCTGTACCTAAGTTTTTTTTTTTTTTTTTTTTTAATGTTTATCTATTTATTTTGAGAGAGAGACAGTGAGACAGTGTGTGCAGGAGCGGGGAAGGGGCAGAGAGCCTGACACGGGGCTCAAACCCACAAACCGTAAGATCATGACCTGAGCCAAAGTCAGATACTTAACCAACTGAGCCAACCAGGCACCCCAGTGACAACTTAACTTGAAATGCACATTAACTTGTTCCTTGCAACAACCCTATGAGGTGGAACTATTATTAGCTCCATTTTACAAATGAGGAAACTGAGGCACAGAGTGATTAACTTGATTGCACACTAGTAAGTGATGGAGCAGGTTTAAACCCAGGAAATTTGATTCTAAGGTCAGTACTTTCCCCACTCTACTCTGCTGTCTAGCATGAGTAATGAGAAGTGATTTGTATTTTGGCTGATTGTCTTAAGCCTAATTAAAATGAGGGGCGTCTGGGTGGCGCAGTCGGTTAAGCGTCCGACTTCAGCCAGGTCACGATCTCGCGGTCCGGGAGTTCGAGCCCCGCATCGGGCTCTGGGCTGATGGCTCAGAGCCTGGAGCCTGTTTCCGATTCTGTGTCTCCCTCTCTCTCTGCCCCTCCCCCGTTCATGCTCTGTCTCTCTCTGTCCCAAAAATAAATAAACGTTGGAAAAAAAAAATAAAATAAAATGAAATAAAGGTAGGGGTGCCTGGGTGGCTCAGTCGGTTAAGCGTCCGACT